CTCTATTGAAGGAGAGGGAGAAGATCCCGTCACTCATATACCAATCGGCGTCTGATCGATGTCAGACCTCTTCGGGGGATCTCGGGAGGGGGAAGAAAAGGGGGAGGGGGGCGTTGCTATGGCGACGACTTCTTGTTTTTGTATGGGAGGTTCTACCGTTGGGAAGATGCGATTCATCCGGTTTTCCCTATTGGAAAAAGGTTTTTTTTTCTGTGAAGACGGGATTTGCAAGCAAGCAATTTGCGATAATGGCTTCACGTCGTTTTCCTTGTTTTTTTTTTCATGCTTCGTTCGACGAGTGGAGGATATTCATTTTTTATTTATTTGGAGTGTTTGTGCGTTGGGCCGCCGAGGTTTTCTCGCGTGGATTTTGATGGGATGCGTGTGCCCCCGCAGCGATTTCCCGGTACATCTTCGCGGGGGTGGAGGACTGCGAGGTGATTCACGGGGTGCTCTACACCTGCCTCCGGGTGCTCTTCGGCCTGTCCGTCATCGCGATCCTCCTCTGCATCTTTGCGGCCATGCTCGTGTATCAGCTGCTCACGTGAGTGGGATGTCGGGTGCTCGGGTGAGTGGGAGAGGAGAGCGTTGGCCCCGTGTGGACGGGGCGTCGATCCGGACGAGAAGGATGATGGATCTGAGGATGGCTTGTGGGGATCGACGGTGTTCTGGTCCGATGGGGAGGGAGGGCGAGGGTTCGAGACCTGGCTCCTCCCTGCCCTTTGGCTAGGGGGGGGAGGGGGGGGGGGTTGGTGGGGGGAGGGGGGGTGTCGCTGGATTGAGTGAGGTTGACTCTTTTCTCAGATTTGGTTTAGTTGGATTTGGCCGTGTTTGGATTGCCGTAATGGGGCTAGACAGATTACGTCTGTTAATCCGAATTCAGCGTGAATGCAGCGGGGCTGGAGACTCGTCGAGCGGGCCTTAATCGAGTTTCCGGAAGGAATTTCCTCGGATCGGCTCCGTGGCTCAACGAATCAGCGAGATGAAGCAGCGACTCTAACGCGTTTAACGCCTTCTCCTCGGGAGTTGATCGTGTCTCGTCGGGACGAGTTAAGGGGGAGGTATTCGAGCAGGCTCGTATCAATTTGATCCTCATGAGCGCGAGATCTTGATTATCTCCTCGGATCGTTAGAGAGTTTCCGCGGGGCGAAATTTCTCCGAGGAGGAACTCTTAACGAGGCCAAATGAATCAGTCGGATGAAATTAATTTTCTTCACCCAACGCTCTTCGATCCCATTCATCACCGAACTCTGCGAATACTCCTCCCGGCACATTCAGACCATCCCTAATAACAGGCACGAGCGAAAGAAGGCCTACTGGGAGGAGCTCGAGCTGCGTCGCCGGAGCTTCTACCGCCGGAACCCGCATTTCCTCTACTGCGGCACGTGCTACGAGGACGCCTACGGGTTCCCCGTCCCTCAGCCCTACGCGTCCTGGCACTCCCTCGCTCCTGCGCCGCACGCAAGGTAACTTGACCGCTGCGCTAACCGCGCGGCCTCGGTTGAATTTTTTGAGGTTTCGTTTAATCGTTTGGAGTCGAGGTTATGCCGTTAGGTATTTGTTATGCAGTGTCGGTACCGAGTGTCGTTAATTCAGAAGTTCCTGCACGGTGCCGTTACAGTACTTGGCAGTTTCAGTACAGTTTCAGTACTTGGCAGTTTCAGTACAGTTTCAGTGTAGTCGTTCTTTAAGTTGGGGAGTTGTTTGCCCTGTTTTGTCTCCGTTAATATCTCACGAAAGACATTGAGTAACTACTTCCTTCAGAGTCTGTATGGAAGAGACAGAAAATTGCATCTCCCTTTTTTTTTTCCTTCTCTTTATGTATGTTCCCCTCCCCTTCATCTGTGCCTTTGAATCGGAATGAGCCCCCTTGACAACATTCAACGGGGATGTGAGGGGGATGTGAGAGGGTGGCGGGGATGCGACGAGGTTCCCCCCCCCCCCCCCCCCCCCCCCCCATACTGCACGTGCACCACACTGGCAAGGACGGCCAGTGAGAGCGTTCTTTTTCGCTTCCTTNCGAACCGACGACCCCGATTGTCTTGGGTCGCTCGAACGCCTGACGTTGAGGAGCGACCGGAGCAGGAGATGAGCAACGGTTCATTTTTGAGCTTTAAAAAGTCATGTTAGGTCAAATGAAGGTATTATAGAATATTTCAATTCCAGAGTCGTGCATTATTTCATTATGTAAATTTTCAATTTACTCAGAATTCTGTTACACCTTGTATAATAATATAATATAATATATGGTTGAATTGCTGAAGGCCATGGAGCGGCGGGACGGGGGGCGTGGAGGAGGAAGAACCCAGCAGCCCCCGCCCCCTGCTGAACGGCCAGGAGGAGCCGGCGGGGGAGTGGAGGTGGCTGCCGTGGAGGAGGGGGGCGGGGGCGCTGCCGCCGCCGCCGCCGCCGCAAGGGGGCGCTGAGGGGGCGCCGCTGGTGGAGCGGGTGTACCATTCGCTGAGGGAGAGGCCGCTGCCGCATGGGAGAGGGGGTCAGCGGTCGTTCTCCAGTGCGGGCACCTCGACTAACAGGCCGACTAACAGGCCTTTGTACGACCAAAGGTGAGATGGCCTGTTAATTTACGTTTGCGTTGATTTACGGGTGATTAACGTTCGCTGGGAATGAGATCAGTTGGGGATTTAGATCCTCGTTTGCGGCATGCGAATGAGGCTGTTATGCCGGTGCTCTCTGCTAAATGCGTCAAAATGGCATGCAAGACTCGATTCTTGGGCTGTTCGCATGGCCATCGTTTCGTGCGAAGAGCTCTCGGGGGCGAGGGACACATCTGGTTGTTGCAGCGGCCACGCATTCATAGAAAAAAAAAAAAATCTGAGCTGATCACCAGGAAATGAATTCGATGAAGGTGTGGTAAAGTTGTGACAAAAAGTACTATTTTTTATTTAATTTTATTTAATTTAAAAAATATATATTAGCATTGATATAATGATGAAATTTTTTCCCACTTGCAGGCACCCAGACGCACCAACATTCGCCCCATCCATAAGCCGCGGAGTGGGCATCCCCTACCCCGGCCCCCCCGCCTACCCCCTGGGCCCCCCACCCCCCTACCAGGGCACCCCCCTCCGCCCCCCACCGGGATCTAGTCACCCCCAGGGATCTAGTCAGGACCGGGACGAGGGGCCCGCCGCGTTCGGCTCCCTTCCGGCGAGGCGGTCCCAGCGCGTCCAGCGCCCTCCGCCTCTCCGGGCCAAGCCCATTCAGCTCAGGTATTTTTTTCAATTCCTTCTTTCAATGTGTTTATTCAATACATTTTTTCGATACATTTTTTTCATGCATTCATATTTTTTTTCAACATACGCTTTTAAATTAATTTCGATTCCTTCCCCTAATACTTTAAAAATAATTTTAAAAATTTTTCACTGATTTTTTCGTTCATCTGGATGAGTTGAGACGTTCTCGAGGCATTGATTATTTTTAATGCATTTTCGGAGTAACGGCAACGAGTGAGAAAAGCCGAATTCGTCTGGAAAAATTATTTCCGGGAACTTTTTCCGAGGAATATATGCAAATCGGCGCATTTAGGATGTGATTCCATCGTGAGAGAGAGAGGGAGAGATCTCATTAAAGCAGTTCTCTGACAGCCGACATCGTTATATCTTCTTAAAGAACTGCAGCTGTAGAAAGAAAAAAAAATTCGAGGCTCAGGAGGGAAGTGAGATATTCCTGGAAAAAAAAAAGCTCGTTTTCTCCGGAAGTTCTTATTGAAAAAAAAAAAGATCCATGAAAGCAACTCTCAACTTCTGCGTAAATAGAGGCTTTGAACATATTCCTGGAATCCTCGTAAATACTCGAGCCGTTTCGCCTCCCATTCGCCCCCAGTAATTGGCCTCATCCCCTCCAAGCTCGACCCCCGTTAGCATCGCCTTCGAAGTGACTCATCGATCCGCTTTCGAAGGGAACCGGTGCCAGGCCGAGCCCAGCAGGAGCAGCCGCGCCGGAGGAACGAGACGATTCCGGAGAGCCAGGAGCCGGTGCAACCGCAGCAACCTCGGCAGCCGCGGCAACCCCCGTGCCCCGCGAAGGCGACCTCGAGCAGCGACTCCCAGCCCTCTAGTCCGCGCTCGAGTCGCTCCACCTCCCCGAGCCTCACGGCCACCGACGCGGAGGTGGCCTCCTTCTTCGCCCACGAGACCCGCGCCCCCACCGCCGACTATTCGCGCTCGCTCCCGAACATCAATCTGATCCTGGATGCGACCAGGAACAAGAGCGACAGCGGGCACGGCAGCAGTCACGACGAGACCAACTATGCGATGAGCGAGAGCGGCTCGTCGAACGGATACAATAACAACAATTGCGGTCGGGACTCCTACAATCAACCTCAGGACTCCTACAACCAGCCCCAGGACCCCCACAAGCCCGGTCCGGACCCCTACGGCACCCGAGTGACCTACATCCGCTGCGACCCGAACGGCAACCGCCAACTGCGCCTCCCCCTCGACGCCCCCGAGGTCCTCCTCGCCCCCGCCCGCGTCGGCAAGCGCCCCCACCGCCCCGTCACGGAATCGGAATCTCTGGTGGAACTCCGGCCGCCCCGGCCGGCGAAGCGTAACGCGTCCCATCCGAGCACCCCGGACGACGTCGTCTTCGCGTCCACTCGCGGCCAGATGGAACTCTCGCGGCCTCACGCCCCCGACATCATCTTCAAGTTCAAGTCCATTCACGTATGATAGATACCCACCCAGTACAAAAATTTATGATCGTTTATAAAGAATCCCTTCGCATACTGGTATCCGATGTAACTTCATTTCGTCCGTGCAATCTTTTCACTGTTTCAATTTACTTTAAACTTCTTCAATTTACCTTACAAAACTTCAATTTACCTTACACAGCTTCAATTTGCCTTACACAGCTTCAATTTACCTTACACAGGCATGAATCACACAAACGGCTGCTAAAAAGCTGAAAAGGAGGCTTCATTTTGCTTACCTTTCGCTGCATTCCAAGAGCTTCCCAGCCAAGGAATTGGCGGCTTTGACAAGAAGCAAACACTAGGGCTAATGCAATGTTGATTTTCACGTGTTCGTTTCGGTCGCGAGGAAACCACTGACGAAAAACCTCAGACTTGACGGTATTCCTTCAAGTGTGATATTGGTGTCAGGGTCCGTATTTGAATGTGTGAAAAAAAAAATCGTGTTGATCTTCTCTAGTGATAACTGAATGGCGTCGAGTGATAATCCGGCGAGTGCAGGAAACAAGGAAAAGCTGGCGCAGTGCTCTGGCATGAGTATCGAAAACAAATCTCGCGATGAGTGATAGAAGGACACGCGGTGGGTCATGACAGAGGGTCATGACCCACATAAAGGTCCGTGACGGATTTCGAAGGCGGCCCGTGCCGGCCCGGAGATTATTGGCGCTGCGGAGCCGCTTTGCAGAAAGATGTTAAATGATTATGGCTTCTTGGAATGCGTATCATTCATGAAGCCGGTCGACCGCGATGCCATCCTTCTCTGCGATGCCATCATTCTCCGGTGACTCCTGGCGAGAGTCCAAAATTTTGCCTTTGTCTTCGCTGCACAGCGAAGGATCGCATATTCAATGAGGATGGCACGAGGGAAGCATGGTCAAATTAAATTACAGTACTTGGTAAAGTTTAATATAAAATTTAGGAAATTTATTTTTAAAGTTACCGACGGTTAACAGAATTTGTATGAGGTGCCGCTTGGGTACTTGGAGTACTTTTCCCGAGAGATAAGGAGGAAAGGAAGGAAGATTGGGATGCTCCGCGTTGTGCCGCGCGGACCGAAGCCGGTGGGGAATCCGTGGAGGCTCCCTTCGGGTCGCGAAAATTTGAACGTGCAGAATATCCTTTCCCGTGAAGTTCTTGCTTTGTCAAATGCAAATGAATGAGGATCTTTGCGAATTAACATCCTTTCACGGATAAAAATGCAAAGGCTCATAAATTTCGCTTCCGTCATTAAATTTGACCATCCGATCAAAGAAGAAATTGCTTTCCACAAAAGGAAATTAATACAAGAAACTTTTTTTTTTAACGAAAAACGAAGTGGGAAAGGAGTTTTGGTAAAATATTAGAAAAGTAGAAAAAATTGGCAAAAATGGAATTGGCAAGGATTCAGCAAGCACGGCACGTCTTGCGAAATAATTGGCGCGTTGAAAGTGACGAAATGAGGCAGTTTGGAACGAGATTGCCAGACTTTATGGCCTACTGGCTGCCGAGTGCAAAAAAAAATCCCTCGTTTGCAAATAAAAAGTATGCTTTTATGATTCTGGGAATCATAAAAGCGGTCTGAGCAATCATGAAAGGAGACGGCTCTTCGCTGACGCGGACCACAAAACGAACGAAGTTTTACGAGGATGCAGTGACGTCATCGAAATAACTCCGGGGGATCGATGTGCAAAAGAAATGCTGACGCAAATTCTCAACTTTAGCATCTCCTTCAGGCTTTTTTTTTTTGCAATGAATTATTCCATGGATAATGGGTGCACTTCGCTGATCGCTTTTTTTTTTGCAACTCGGATCAAAAGGGAGAAAATCGAATTGCAGCGAATCGTTCCCGCAGTTGCCGTAGGGCGATTCCATCATTCCATCATTCCATCATTCCATCATTCAGCGCCCATAAACAAATTTCCACCGATGGAGTCGCATGAAGCATGTGCGACTAACGCAGCTCTAAAAGGAAAAGTCGATTCCCATCATCGAACGTTCCTCGTGAATTCTTCGTGTCGCTCTATGTACCTTCTCCTTCCACCAACATGCAATAAAGGTCGCAATAAAGGTCGTAGTAAAGGTCACATGTACAAGACGTCTCTCGATGAAATAGCCTACGTTGAATCAATATGGACGCTGTGACTAACGTAACTCCGCCCTTTTTGATCGCTGCATTGCTTTCCCTTTAGAGTGCTTGGCCTTAAATGGAAATTGCCCCGTCGATGTTCGAAGATTTCGAAATCCATTAACGATCAATCGGATTTATTACTGTATACTTACCGTGTTGCGTGGGCCATTTTCCTCTCTCGTTGTCCCTGGTCCCGTTGTTGGATGTGCCTCCTTTCGTGCCTTCCTCAGCTGCTATTCCGTCGGCGTCCGGAAGGAACTTGTGCCTCCTTTCGTGCCTTCCTCAGCTGCTATTCCGTCGGCGTCCGGAAGGAACTTGTGCCTCCTTTCGTGCCTTCCTCAGCGGCTATTCCGTCGGCGTCCGGAAGGAACTTGTGCCTCCTTTCGTGCCTTCCTCAGCGGCTATTCCGTCAGCGTCCGGAAGGAACTTGTGCCTCCTTTCGTGCCTTCCTCAGCGGCTATTCCGTCGGCGTCCGGAAGGAACTCGGTGGTTCTCACGCGCGCAACTTGATGGCGTCGCGTCTGCCGTTTGCTTTTCGCGCTAGCCGTGCACGTGCCACGTCAGGAAAATGCCTAATTAGGTTTCTCTGTGCCATGTGAAGCTTTTCAGACGTAAACATTGGCTGATTTCCCCGTGTGTGTGTTTTACAGTCTTTCTCGCGACGTCAAAGGGACTGGGTGATTAAAGTGCTCCAAGAGGGTGTCACGCAACGGAAAGTTACGCCCTCTTTTGACCTTGAAGGATGTAACGATTCTCTTGGTATATATATACTAGTTATTCAAGGTTCTCTCGGCACATCTCTCACGTCGTACCGTATCCCAGAGACGGTACGACACGCATTGTGATATCAACTCGTATTTTACCAACGGAAATGTGAACTTTACATATGACATGGAGAAAAGACATGGACACATATACATATGTAGGCATGCTTCCGACGTGGCACGTGCCCAGCACTCGAAAGTTGGCGAGTGCACGCTAAAAAAAAAAATTCTCAGGCAGTGATTTACTTGTTCAGCAAATGACCAATGACCATCACAACTCCTACGATGCGGGCGAGCCGTAACGTTATACGTAACGTTAAATTTGGACGCTAATAAAGATTCTTATTTTCTTGGCTCCTCGGCGCTCTGCTTTGCAAGCAGATAAAGAGAGCCACAGTGCTGATTTTGCCAGATTGAGATTTCGCAATTTCCCCACGTCAAGTATATACATATAAAGTTTGCGGAACGGAAATTGCAGACGAAAATGGGCGGAGCCTAACCATGACGCCACGGATGACGCAACGGATGACGACCTCCTCTTCCCGCCGGACGAGATCCCGCGCCCGCGGGGAGCCGCCGGTTGTTCCTCCCGCGCCTTTGTGCGTTCTGTTTGCGCTTTCGGTGAAGGGTGGGGCTCGGTAGCCCGTTTCATCACGCGGGGAACGCGATTAAAAAGAGAAAGTCTCTTTCATCTAGTTGCATGTGATGAGAATCTTATGTACTGACTTCGTTTGAAACAGTTTGACGCTCTGTTTTGCTTTGTGGCGGGGAAAGATGCTTTTTGATAGCTTCTAGCTGCATTTGTAAGACAAAGTTCCAGGAGAAAAACGATTTGGAAAATATTTATTGCCGCCTTTGCGGGTTCTGTCAGACAATAAAGTCTTAATTTTTTTTAGGCTTGTGAAATTATGCAGAAATACCAGTCCTTTCTTCCAGATTCTGCTAATAGAGGGACCTCATCAGAGTCTGAATCTTCTGCGTCTTCGTCTTTCCCATTGTATTTTGCCTCAATAAAATTGACTGATCGTTTCTAAACCTGCTGAACCCATGCCTTATCAACTATTTCGTGTGGGTCCCAAGCTTCAGGGGCGTATTCTCCTAAGGGACGTACAATGGATAGTGATGCGACCGTTGCCTCAGGAAAGGGTTTGCTATAATTAGTAGAATAAATAAGAACGGTCGCAACGTTCCTTTTCACTGAACATTAGGACAGAGTGAAATTTAGGAGCTACTCTACAGTTATTTTCATTCTCTCTGCGCTGCGGGAAACCGTCGGAGTTTCCTCAGTAATGGATCTAAGTAGCCTGGAGTAGATGGCAACCCTGTCATCGGAATGGCGGCGTGCTGGGGCGAGCAGACGTCGGTGTGCCGTCACGTGGTGAAGAGCGCATTTGGCTTCGTGGCCATTTCGTTTGTGAGGAATGTTATCAACTTATTTGAGTTGTATTCATGGTGAATACTACATGTCACTTCAGAGTTTCCTGCTGCTGGGTTGAGCCTCTGACGGTGAAGTCTTTCATTGGAGAAGCGGCCTACTTGGAGTTATTAAGACCTGTAGAGCATCATATCTGATATGAAAGCCAGACAATACCTTACCATTCTCTCCCTCTCTATAGGTATATATTTGAGGTAGCATTTCAGAATTGGTGAAGTCAATGGCTGAGACTGAAGAGGGGATTCATTCTGGCAAGAAGAGAAAGTATTCCAAGAATAAGAAAAAGAACTGGAAGCGATCCGATGTTACTGACGTGGAGGAGTTTTTGGATGCCGAGAGACAAGATGAGCGGCTTGGTGCTGGAAAGCTCCAGACTGTGCCCAGTGACAATCTCTTCATTGTTGAGAATGTGGTAAGACTACACAGAATATATTCATCCCACTCTCACCATCTAGACAGAATGGAATTAGATTTTTAACATTTTAATTATTTTTGCCTCAGTCAATAATGTGACAATGTAAACCTAATCCTCCATTTACTTTAACTTTCTGGCTCTAATGGTGTTGTTGGGGAATCAAGTTACTGGTGCATTTTAATGAATGCAGCAGAGGCATTCATATCTCTGGTTGTTGGTTGCATGGTAGCATATTGTTTATATCTTCACTGAGTGACAGTCAGATGTCGTCAACTAGTACCAAGTATTCAATGTTCAGAATTAGCTTTTATTTTAAGTTTGACAGACTTTCTATGAAATTCACATGTGAAAGCAAATAAAGATCTGAATCTGATGGAAAGTATGTCTCACCTTGAGATTGTCATTTAGATATCCCACCTACAGTTGAGCTTTTTCATTTCATCCTTTGCAGTTGCCGGAAGAAACACAAACTCCCAAGAATGATGCAAGTACCCGGAGCAAAAAGGTGGAAATTGCAGTAGCAAAGGCATATGGCCATCTGCGGAATGTATCAGAGGTAATTGACCCACTGAAGAAGCGAAATCGGGTCCGCACGCCATTGGAGAGGAAGGGAAAGTTATATGCACTCCAGGAAAGACTTCGGCTGGCTGCTGGACGACTAAAACTGAAGGAGAGAGATGCTCTGCATCAGACTCAGCAGTATCTGAAGAAGAGGAAAGTGAAACTAATGGAGAAGAAGCAGAAATTTGAAGCCCGAAATGTATGGGATACGAGTGACATGCCAGAAGAAGTAAAAAATATGGACAAGGACTTGTTCAAGTACACATTCATCGACAAGCTGAAGAAAGTGCAGCCCAAGCGGCCTTATACGATAACAATGAAGCAGACTGTGCTTCCCTCTGTTGAGCTTCCTCTGCCTGGCACTTCTTATAACCCGAGCTTTGAGGAACATCAAGAGCTCCTCCAGAAGGCATTAGAGGTTGAGATCAAGAAGGAAAAGAAGCTTCAGAAGATTGAGAGGCAGACCACACTCATGTTCCCCACTGCTGACAAGGCCCCAACTGAAGAATCAAAACTCCTTGAACTATCCGAGGGCCTCTTTGAAGAAGAATCTGAAAAGCCAGTGCAGAAAGTCGAAGCAGGTGAGACCGAAGAGATCTACAAAGCACCCATCCGCGATGAGGACCGCAAGACACGGAAGAGGCGGCGGAAGGAGCACCAAGAGAAGATGAAACTCCTGGAAGCAAAGCAGAAGAAGGAAGAGAGATTAAAAGAGGCAGGAGTGTTTCGCATCAATGCCATCAACAGGGAACTGAAGCTGCGAGACCAGATCACCAAAGAGCGGATCGAACGCCGCTTGAAACGCGAGGCAGAGAAGCTCAAACAACCGAGAGTCCTCAGTCGGTTCAACTACGAGGAGCCTGACATCGAGTTGAAGCTCTCGGAGGAAGTGACCGGGTCCCTGAGGGAGCTGAAACCTGAGGGACACCTTTTGGCTGACAGGTTCAAGAGTTTACAGCGTCGAAGCATAATAGAACCAAGAATTAAACTCCGTTTGCGCAAAAAGAAGATGAAGCGATTCGAGAAGCGTGGTCACAGGAAGTTTGGTGATGAAATGGTAAAAAAAATGGAAACTGCACTCTGAGAATTTCTGTGTTTTCAAATAACATGATGGAATGCTTATTTTCATGCAAGCAGTGAGTTCTTGTGAATACAGGATGTTGCCTCCTGAAAAATATTGCTTCATTCTTAAATCAGGATTTTATTAAGGAAAAAATTTCAGGCTGATGGCATTTCATCATGCTACACTGACCCTGATACACTGGGAGGACTCTTTTTTTTTCTCAGAAAGGTGGATGTGAATATGAATTAATTTCGTGCACTTATTAACAGATATTGACAAGTTTCAGGATCATGATCCAAGAATGTTGCTTATCAGCAGTCAAGTCTAGGATTTTCCTTCCATATTTAGTTTGAGGTTTGCAACCTGAGAAAGGGATTTGATTGTGCCCATGAGTGAACTATTTATTTTAGGTCAAAAGTTAGTCCAGATTCAATAATTCCCAGTTTGCACAAGAGCATGAATGTAAACCTATGCTGGTGTGTTATACAGATAAGCCAGGATGTAACTGAAGATGCTCAGCTGTTGTTTCAGAAGCATGATAAAGATGAACCTGATTGAGGCTGTGATGTCATCTCTCTTGGCTACCAAAGCATCTGGCTTTTGAAACTGATGGTTTTGTGATGGCAGCTGACCTGGGGCATTTAGGCATAGATCCATTCAAATGAAAAGGAAGCTTAATTTCCATGTAAAGGTGATGAAAACCTTGTGGGACTAGGATAAGCATGGTAAACATTGTTTTGTAATCTTGCAGTGTAGATAAGTGGATGTCATTTCTTGTCCGAGTTCCAGATCTCTTTTCAATGATTTTCTCATGGTCTCTGGATATGCCTGAGTTTGATAAAGGTTTGTTGTCTGGACATTCCTGACCAAGATGTTGGGTATATGTTTGCAACTGGAGATGTTACCAAAACAGCCCTAAAAATGTTTCTATTGCAGAATTCCTCGAACTGTAATTGTTGCTTGTGTGGATGATAGTCAATGAGTATCCTCTAGCTGCAGAATTCTTCAACTGATTCTCATGGAAATAATTGGAAGATCTTATTGCAGGTTATAATGCAATTGTTAGCTCAAAAGTACAATTTTTCTGGTCTTTATATGTTTATATTCTTATATTAATGTCAAAAACAAATATAGGCCTTTACAATTAATGTTTCTTGTGCTCAGATTTATAAATATATCAATATTTAAGTTGCACTCACTTAAAATCCTGACCCTAATGTAGTGACAGCTTTAGCTACTGTGAAAGTTCCACATATGTTGATCAAGTAATTTCAGACAGCAATATGGACTAAGTCATCTGAAAAAGAAAAGAGATTCTGCAAAGTAGAAATAAAAGCACATGCTTTGGATAAAAGATAAAATTCACATTGGTTGGGACCGATTTGCTGATTGACACTTGGAACTCAACCACTGAAAACTGACCTGAACCTACAAAAAACAATTGAAATTCATGTGAAATGGGATATTTTGTCTTTATTCCTAAAAAATACAATCCCAGACAAGCAATAATAACCTGGAATGCCTTGGCTGGCAGGAATCATTAACATATCACTGTTAGAATGATTTGGTTTATGGCACTCTAACAGATGCACACTCAACAAAAAAAGGGGTGGGGGAGAGAGAAAGACCGAAGAAGGTGCTTGAAGAATAACAAAATCACAGGTGATACTTGTGATTTGATAGGTACCAGTGGAGTAACTTTTTGGATTGACTTCTCAGGTTTTCAGATCCACTTATTCTGCATTTGAATTCGGTTCATGTACTTCCTGGTGGACTGAGAGGATGTTGTCATCATATTTTGGTTAATTAAGTCCATAAAAAAAAGTACAAAGTGACTCTGAAAATCCATGAAGCCAACTCGAATTTGCACGATCACCAGAAGACGCTCCCGCCCCCAGCTCCTCCTCCCCAGAAATCATTTTTCTTCTTGGATGCAAGCACAACATGTTGGCCCTTCATGGCAGCAAGTTGAGCCTCATTTGGAACCACTCCTGGAGGTGGTGGAGGGATGCTGGGCCTGGCAATCCCATCAAAACGAGCACCAGCATTAAAGGCTCCCTGGAAATGGCAATGAAAATGTCTTAGCACATAAATCAACAGGACATGTGATTATTAGTCAGTCTCACCTCTTCGTTTCAGACAAGATTGTAGGTGCAAATGATTGAATGAAAAATCAAGTTAAAAAATGAGGATTGGCTCCATGCAATCAAGGAAATAAGATTAAAAGAGCCCTTAAAAATGATGTCATTGATAGCCAAAATCCCAATGAAGTTAAGACATCAAAATGCAAACCACTTGTGTACCACAGCCAGAAACAAGGAATGATAAAATGAAATATCAATCAAACCAAACATGGTAATCAATATTCATTGGTTATATACAGTACTATTACCACTGGTAGAAATTCACCATATAAGAGAATCATGTCTGGGAATCACTGCAACTGTTGTGCATTGTGCAACTGTTGAGAATCATCAGTGATCCTCATGCCAACCAGTGTGTTAATTGATATAATCCATATTAGCCTATGTAATTGAGGCTCATTGTAGAACAGCAAGAGAAAGCCATTTAACCATTTTCATGGTAGAATCTCCATTTGGAGACACTATTTGAGATTCACTCAAAGCTTATAGCAGCATGTGCAATAACTCGAGGGAAAACAGAAGTCAATCAAAAGAATGAATCCAGTCTTGAATATAGCAAAGAGCCTCAGTTAAAAGCAAGTTTTGGCTTGAGTTCAGTGCATCTCTGATCACTCCCATAATTTACCACAGAAAGGGTTTTTTTTATTTAAAGCATTTAAAAGGCCTTGAACACCAGGTCATTCCAGGTTTTACCCAAGCAATGAGATAGTTAATTCAAGTTGTACCTGCCTCAAACAAGATAGATTTTTTGCAAAAAATTACTTCATGTGTAGGTCAGAGAATGCATTTGATGAATATGTGGACAGCCTCAAGAGATTAAGAGCCTTCACGAGAAGGAGCAATACAAGTAGGAGATAGATGCATTCTTGTCAAGACTATTTACCTTGAGATGAAGTTAGCCTTTTCAAGATTTATTTATTTATTTATTGGCAAGAGGATTTAGGAGAGCCTCAAACGTCCATAAGGAAAAAAATGTTTCTGAGCGTTCCAGCCCAAACTTGACCCAGAGAGGTGAATCCCTCAAGCACATGCTCAGGCATATTGAAAAGGTGAAAAACAAACCCTTACATGAACAACAGTTGCTTGCATGGGTGCTGGCACTCCCATGTAAGGCTGAGGTCCTTGATATGGTCCTTTCTGAGGCCCTTGATATGGTCCTTGCTGAACTCCTTGATATGGCCCTTGCTGAGGTCCTTGATATGGCACTTGCTGAGGAGCCTGATATGGTCCTTGCTGAGGTCCGTTCTGATAACCCATGTAATTGACCGGTCCTGCATTCTGGAAGAGAAAATATGATTAAAGTACTCAGGAGGCCTATTTCATCGAATATCTGTCAGAGGATGAAAAGAAGAAAATCGAACCTTAACCCAATTTGGATTATATTGAGGCGCTGGAGGCAGCTGACCCTGCATCATGGGCGGCTGGCCCTGCCCGATCACGGGGTGTCTCATCGCATCGTCGTAGGATGGTGGGGGGGTTCGACTCCGGAATTCCTCCTCGGGGGCGGCCGTCTGAAAAGCCTCCGAGGTGCTCAAAACTGGGGCAGACGGTTGCCACGGAGTGCTATTCCCAGGTCCCCTGCTCGCCATTTCTGAAACTCTTCGAGGGAAACACAAAGGAGATAAACTGCTGACGAGTTCCCAGAATCACTGACGCAAATGCACGTGCTCCTCCTCTGTGGTGACGTCACGGACATCGCATACCTTGAATACCATAAACCTTCTCTCCAAGTTCTCTCGGATTCCTACTCTAATTCCCAATCCTTAATGGAGTAAGGTAATAAATATTTAATATTTAATGTATTCAAGATTTCTGTGAAAGATTGCAGGGGATAGAACTGATCGGCACATCAGACAAGAGTGAGATTTCTTTGGCAACACTGCGGATCGCCCATCCATGGTCGCAGCCATTGGAGGTAGTGCAGTCGCAGACGAGAACTTCCACCTTCACGTGTTCTAGCTGTTTATATTGCCTGGTTTTCGGACTTGTTGAGGAAATTTTGAAGTCTTCTCCCTGCGACGATAGAAATGATCACCGGAAAGCTCAGCGGCATCGCCAGGACCTTGACCACCAGCGCTGCGCGGATGGGACACCACGGTGGCGTTCCTGGAGCTGTGAGTTGGAAGTCTGCCCATTCCCTAAATATGTCTACATCGTGATATTATCCGAGCCTTTGGGTGGAGGCTTGAATTCACTCTTTTATTCCGTCAAAGATTAGTGTTACTACACTAATCTTTCAGATGTTTCGCCGTGCCTGTGAGGTTGCCATCCGTTCATAATTAGTATGGTCAGTACATATTTCAGGTGCAGTGTCCATACTGCAAACTTGTCTTAATATGGACACTATTTTAAACTTAAGATTTTTTTACTTTGGAAACGTAATAGCAGCTTAAACTGCTTCTGTAAGAACAAGCAGTAGACCACATTCTTAGTATCGATTGGCACCTGACACAAGGTGGCTGTGGGTATTTACAGCATAGCTTCATGCACAAGTGTACTTCGAATATTTTTCCTTAGTTCCATTTGTTCATATTTTGTTAAGTCAAAGGTGGCAACCCTTTCTTGACTTTCCTATTCTTAGAGAGGTCTAATATTTGCATTTTTCCCATCCTCTAGTATAACCTTTAATAATCTTATTTGTCTCTGATCATATTTTGGCATTTCCTGCAGACTTTTGGGAATCAATTCCAGACTTCAATAATTATTCAGGCATTATACATTATGCCACACTCTCCCTTCTCCTCACCTAGTGGGGTATGCACACCTTCACTGTGAACCTTATCCATAGATCATGGAGTCCTGTTTTCCTTTGTTTTTTCTTTTGTTCCTGGGGGTAAAAGTGGTAAGATCTGGGGGTGAAAGGGATAGGAGGATAGATAGGATGGGATAGGAGTCCCATACCCTTAGATTGTAAAGAACCCTTCTGCCACGTTGTAACCACCCCATTTCTTCGACAGTATTCACTTCTAAGCCAGCTTGAATAATAACTGATGTGAGAGTAGTCTTGTGGACTGAAAATCAATTCTGAAATTGGCCACTGCTGTCACTTTACTCCTACAGTTGATTGAATATTACAAGAACTGGTATTTGCAGTTATGGTTAAGCAGTGTTTGCTTGGTACCTTAGATTCGATACCCCTGCCATTCCAGTACCCTAGTGCCAAAAGATTTTCTCAAGACTTTATCATCTTAGTTCATAGATGATATCATTCACTTGCAGTGTCAACAAGTGCTAGGTCTTCATAGGCCTAAGCTAATTTTTCATTCTATTTTTTTTCTGATGCTCCTTACTTCTGCAATATAGCCCATTAATAGTTCCTGTGTCATTCCCTTGATTTTCATCATGTTCCTGGAACCAGCATTCAGTACACACATTCTGAGTTTATTGGCTTTTTGATGACAGACTCATTTACCCACTAATTTAACTTGCATATTTATGGTCTGGGCCATGTGGTATGTGGTTAAGTGTCATGCAGTAGGACCTTGTGAGTTAATTGTCATGCCATCCAATTAATAATCCTCATGAAAATGGATCTAGGTCATTCACCTATTGAGGAGCAGAGATTGTGGACCACAGTGCCATGAAAATAAAGGCTTCCTGTTTCAATAAGTTTCAGCATCATTCTATTTTTTTTTTTTTCAATTTCAGAATCTGCCATTCCAAATCCAGAACAAGTATCGCCTCACCTTGCTGTTTGCTGTGTTTTTCGGAAGTGGCTTTGCCATTCCCTTCCTTGCAGTCAGGCATCATCTCACTAAGTGAAAATGGCCCTAATCCTTTATGAGCCTGATGAATAGCCTTCAGAAGTCTTCTGTACAAGTGAGTCCTTGCCAACACTATATCAGCAAGTTTAAATTTTCAGCCATGTATTGAATCAGTCTTGCTGTAGTTTTGATTATTGCCAAAATAAATGAATGCCTAATTGCTGTTTTTTTTCTTCACAGATGCATTGGAGTCCCTTCCTGATGGAAAATAGATTTATGTAGGATTTTTAAGTGTTCTGTGCAATCTGGTGAATAAATGAAAGTAAGAGATCCACCACTGACTGTTGTTTGATTGCTGCATTGATGTTAGCCATTTCTGGAAAAGATCTTGCTTGAGAAGAGTAAGTTGAAGAACTGATTGACCCATGCTGAAAATATGGTATTTTTGGAATAGGATGTGTTTATAAGTGCCAAAAATACTGTCGATGGAAAAGAAGTTGGCCTGCCCATTCAGGCTGGCACATTTCAAGTCAATGTGCTCTAAGACAATGATCCACTTTTCTTATTGGGCACATCACCCCCTGCTTTTTTTTTATGGCTGCCAGCTTGGCATTTCCATTACACAAGATTACTTGACAGTCTCTCCAGAACTTTATGACTGTGATCAAGTTCCCTGTGCTACTTCCACGTGAATTAAGTTTTCCCATACAAGGTAATTTCAAACTCCTCCTTTATAGAGCATGAACATAAAAATAATTTTGGAGCCATTGTAACATACCTTGTACCATACCTTGAGCTATAGTACTTGATGGACATGGGAATGTACTGGGTGTTCCACTTAAAATTACTTTTTAAAACTTGAATATCTCAGCACTTGTCCAACACACAGCCATGAACTATAGCTCATTCAATAGGCAATTCTTTAAGAATTTATCTGAGCTATAGCAGACTTTCACACTCAGTGCATCAGAAGTTATGGTCAATTTCTTAAATTGCCTTTTTTGCACATATTCAAATTGCTGCTTGCATCTCTGTGCAATGTTTTGGTGCTGTTTACCAAGTTGTTGACCTAAAATTTGCAATTTTCTTGCCATTAATTTTTGGTTTGTCTTTTTCCTGTGATCGCTGCTATTATGGCTTCATTGCACTTACTTAAAGAATGGGCAATGTGCATCTATTGGTATCAGGAAAAAAAGTCAATCACCAAGGTGCAGAGGCATTTCAAGAACAGTGACCCACATGCTGTTGTGCTGGGTTGTAACTCCATCTCAGTGTGGCATGAGTCCCTCTTCAACACTGGCTCCATCCAAAAGGACACACCAAAAGTTTACGGCAAGAAAAGCTGAAATTTTAGGCCAAAAACTTGGTGAATCTTACCACAATGTTGCATTGAGACATAAACCCTGATTTGAGTAAGCACGAAAAAGGCATTTCAGAAAATTAATCATAACTTTTTATGCATTGAGAGCTTGAAAGTAAGCCATAGCTTGGATTAATTCTTGAATAATTGCCTATCAAATGAGCTCTATTGCATGGCTGTGTATTGAACAATAACTGAAATATTCAAAATGAAAAAGTAATTTTAAGAGGAACGCTTGTATGATTTAATATGTTCCACATGGATCCATAGTTCACCAAGCAATCATCATTCATTGCAGGTGGCCATGGCTTCTCAACATTCTGTTGCTGAGGGGTGTTAGAGAATATTAAATTTACCTTGTGTATTTTGTGCCAAATATTGTTAGCAATCTGATAGAAGATGGAAGTCTCAATTGGAGACCTAAATTCCAGGCTCAGCAACTCTGCCTCTAGGTTCGTTTGAAAGTTTACAGCTTCCATCTCAGTGCGTTGTGTTGTTTTTTTTTGCATTGGAAGTGCATTAGACAGTGAAGAGACATGAGTGCTTCAAGAATATATAATGAAATGTAAAATCCTTTTTATTTAACCAAAATTCAATTATAAGTAAAGATAAGAACAAAGCAAAGGTAATGTCCAATGTTGACCATGCTGTTTCTCTTGCTGCCTTCAACCAGTGCGATGGGAAATTCCTGTCTTAGTAAGTAACAATTTTTTTGTTTTTTCTAAAATGACCTGTATTGCATGTTTAATAATAGTATTACTGTACAAAAGAAACAGGAAGGGTAGTATTATTCTGGAGCATAAGAATTGTAAATTGTTTGTGCATTTTTTATGCATTATAATTTATTAGTAATTGGAATTTCTTGAATTAAATTTTTGAATTTAATATTGAATCTAAAAGTGAGTTGTACATTTCATAATAAAGGAAAATAGGGAATGGGCTGAGATCTCTTTCATTTAAATTGTTACTTCCATGCATGTTTTCATCTTTTTTCCAAAAAAGCCCCAAAAAGTTTTGTGGTATAAAGAAGAAAGGGAAAACTTTCACATCTAGTACAGAGACAACACAGCAGATTCTGAGGGGCCACAAACTTGAAAATGTGAAAATTCCACCACTTGTACTCAGCATCAAATTCAACAGTTAATTTGTGCAATTTCTGTGATACAGATGCAAATAGTCCCTGAAAATGAATTAAAATTTGTCCTGAAAACACATAAATCTCCCTTGTCAAACAGTCAACAATTTTAGTCGTCCTGCACATTACTTGGTGTTCATTACATTATTTTGGTGTTCTTTTAGACACAAATTTTAAACACTTGGTAGTATCTCCTCTTTCAATGTTCGAAGTCTTGTTTTTCATTCAGTATCACATGCATAGAAAATAAGGTTTTAAATTTGATTTTGAATCAGGAGGTTTTTCCCTTTTACAGGCAGACAGCTGTGAGGGACCTTGCAAAGCAAATTCATGCTTTGCCAACCAAAGTGATTGTGTCAGAAGGAGGGACCTGGTTCTTGACTCTGAGCAAAAGCTTGGATCAGCTTGTGAAGACCCCAAAATGCAATTTGACTGTCCACCCACATCTGAAGGTGATGGTGGTGATTCTGCGCAAGGCGACTCAGAACCCAGATCTCACACGCTCTATTGTCACTTCCCCGGGCATCATTTCAGCCCTAGTGCCTGCTCTGTGTGGGCTTATTTTGCAGGTGTTGTCATATTAATTAATCTCTTCTATGATGCATGGGCCTGTGTTATTTCTCATATCAATTGGCACAATAGTTCCTATTCCTATCTTCACCCCTTTGTGACTGTAGGGAAAACTCACTTGGTATACCTGGAGAGAAAGTGTACCCCATCATATCCAAACTAGAATTCAGTCTTGTGGATTTCAGGATTTTTTTCTCCATGAAATTTTTAATTTATTCTTTTATTTCCTTGATTTTTTTCACTATGAGATTTTCTGAAGGGGTGAGATTCTGGACTTTTCTTCCAGAAACATTGTGCATTCTACAGGGTGATTCACTAGGTAGGGGCCCTGGGATTTCGCAAATATTTTCTTTATTTATGAACTGATTTCCATAAAGCATATTTTGCATATGATGTAATTGTGATCAATTTTTAATGGAATGAGGGCTGTTTTAACCAAATTTTATAGAAATCGGTTCATAAATAAAGAATACATTAGCAAAATCCTGGGGCCTCTACCTAGTGAATCACCCTGTAGAACATTGCTGATGAGATTTTAGCTCTTGAAAGGCCTTCCTTAGATATAAATATAATGTTTTCACCCCAGCCCAGATGAATTCTGTTAGAATACAAGACATGATCAAAAAGCTTTATCAAGCCTCAATTGTGTCCTTGTGACTTCTGTTCATGAAAAAGGAACTTCATGGGGTTTTCTATGATTGTTGAGATGAAGTCATGCAGCAGCAGCCAATGGCATTCCAGAGCTACCAGATGAGCAGGCTCTATGAGGAACTGGATCACTGGACTTGTGTATGTTCTACATGTCAAGGGAGATTACATCAAGCTATGAAGCAATTGAGGAATTCTTTGGAAAAGGGCCTAAGCGCCTATTAGCCCCTTTTCCATATCCATGCTCTTGCACTGGTTTAGGAGTCTTTCAATGAGATCAATTTATTTATGTTCAGACGTGTTTTTAGCAAGGGAGAACTAAATTTCCCCAATGCTCTCACTAGATGGCTGGCAGGTTGAGTGTCTGTCATGGCTTTTTTGCATGGAAGTAAGACATACTCATCCAGACCTAAGGAAGGATGTGTGGTGGAAAAGAAAATGGAATGATGTTTACAGAACACAAATGTTACGGGGGAAAGCTGGGATTATCTTGGAAGCTTTTCTTGAATTTTCCTACTTTCCTTGTCTTTCTTTCAGGAAGGGTTTTCTAAAATTGTAATCATTGCATAAACCTTTCTGCCTGCATTATGGCAACTTGAGGAAGAAGCAGCTAAGGATACCATATCACAGAAAATTGGATTCAGATCTGTTGCACATGAACTCAGGAGATTTTACTGTTAACCTCGAATTTTGCCTTTTGTGTATCAACCCCGTTTGTGTGACCAAAATGTGACCTTGGCCAATAGGGTGACTTAACTTTTGATCACCCCTTTATAGTACCACCTTTGCTTCTGATGTGTATTGGAACTTCCCATTTCCAATTGGAAAGGCTACTAATAATCCATTGAAGTGAATGACTATGTGAGCTGAATTTCTTAATGGAAGGGGTGAAGAAAGGGATAGTCTAATAGAAAACAGGTTTTACACTTTTACATTTTCCAATGTATTGGTGTTTGCAGCACAACCTTGGCATGGAGTGCCTAAGCCTGGTTCTCCGAGTTTTCAAGGGTGGCGTTTCTAACCATCAGGTGAGATTCCTACATCTGCAATATCTCTCATACTCTAGAATTTAAACTTTTTCAAGCTATCATGAATGGTGTTAATTCCATAATTTTTGTACATGGCAATGTAAGCATCCAATGTTGATGGATTTATACTTATGATGATTCATTGCAGAGATTGAAGACACATTTGGCTGAAAGATAACTTAGCCTTGCTTAGAGGGACACGGATCTTGTGAAATTCTGCTCTTGAATGCTTCAGCATTTCTTGTAATTTTGAAAAGATGGCAGCAGTAGTTGTTGATCATAATGATCACCTTGTGAATAATGGCATATTGTTTCCTGCTCTTGTTTCCCGCTTTAGTCTCTAACTGCAGCTGGATGACTCTTAAATTGTGATGTTTATGGAAGGAAATATTTTCAAAACACTGTACAACAACAATTAACATTGTAAAAACACTGCAGCTGAAATATTTGGATTAATTTTTGGTGATATTGTAACAAACAACTAAATGAGTGGTATCTATTTATTTTTTTAATAAAAAGGCTGGTATCTGAAGGCATTTTTAGTTGACACTTGTGCATTGCCAATAAGAATTTCTGGAAGTTATTATATATTTTATGCTATGAAGTTCAAGCAAGATATGGTGTCCAAAGGATGTGTTCATGGGTTTTATGTTTTTTAGGTGATGGTTTTGAATACCCTGAAGAAGGGACTCGATGCTGAGTCAGAGGCAATGGGGCATGCTATAGGGAGCTGTTGGGCAGAGTTCCCACATACTCGTGGGGCTGGAGTTAAGGGAGTGAATCTCAAGGCCACCTGGGCTGAGACCTGTACCCTCCTTCTCAATTCTGCATCTCATACACTTCTGTCCCTTCTTGAGGAATACCCCATTCCATTGGTTGGTACCTGCCAGTTACCTTTTGATAAGTCAAGGTTAGGAGGTAACTTGATGCTTTGGTTGAAATAGGTGCATTGCTCACTGGAGGACCCACACTTGAAGTTGGAGCCCATTGCCAAGGATGTTGCAGAAGATTTCATCCGTTCTAGTTGTCTTCGATTGCGGAATCTTCTGTTTGCTATCACTTGTCTCTTGAGGTGAGCTTCTGATGTTTATTCTCATTATATTGGCTTACATTGCTCTCATTATAATTGGTCTTCATTGACATGAGTCAATGAATGAGAGGTGAAGATCAGAAAATTGCTGTTTTTCTTTTCAGTCAAGAGCTACCAGTGGCCATTGATGTGGATCATGGTGGGATGCTGGCCCTCATCCAGGATGTTCTGCACATTCAGCCGAGTGCCTCGTGGGCAGCAGCCAATCCTCTTCGTAAGGTCTTCGCACAACTTGTGCCGGTCATCCAGGGAGCTGCTCTTCACCTTCTCTCTGTCCTTGTCCTCATGTGAGCCATGATTTGTTCTACAGGCTTGTTTCCTGATGCAAACCGCATCTGTCTGTCTGAATCACAGATGTTTTATTGGTTGTTGAGACATATTGGTTGTCATAATGGGTGAGATAATTTAAGGAGACCATGTGCAATCTGAAGCATGGCAGAAGGATGAGGCAGCATGTTATAGGTTTTATGAATGCAGATTACAGGTTGAGTACAGTGACTTTTCATTGAGCCTTCAATTTTTTTTAGGCCAGTTTTATAAATTTTAAGGGAAATCTTATGAAGGAAGTATTTCATTGGATTCTGACCATTTGTTTGAGCTTTTTATTTGATTTAATATGAAACAACCATGGAAATTAGTTTGCATCTCATAGCTGGGGCAGAGGGTATACCAGAAGGTAGGCATAGCTGAAATGATTACTTCGCAGGAGAGTGTTGGTTGAAGTCTTAGAATAGCGGTCACATATGTGGGTGCTTGCAGAAACAATTTGTGTGCTGCTTGCAGCCTACAAGACACACTTTGGGCACCTGTCTTTGATAGACTGTGACTGTTGTTCTTCATGGGAGTAGTCAAAACATGCAAGATCATATATTCCCCTGAAATTTCAAGGTGAAGAACAAAATTTTATTTTCTTCCACATCCCTTAGTGAAGAAAGATGGATCCCTTATATGAGATTTAACTAGGAGAAATATATTTAGTCCATTCTTTGTGCACAGTTCTTTTTGCTGCAATGTTTCCACACAAACTGAAATCCCTTGACTTTTTCAGCTGTGGGACCCAGATGTTGAAGTCAGGCCATGAAGTGGGAAGCACCCTGGTGCAACTCCTGATCTGGACCCGACCCGACCAGGAATCTTCTACCCGTCGTTATTCCGACCGGATGGTGCAGCTCCGACTCCATTCCTATGAAGTTTTGAAGATTTGGTTCAAGGCCCTAGGAGGATGTGCCCTTCTTGAGACGGGCTTGGCGGAGGTCCTGCTTCGCGAAGCCATCCGAGACTCCACACTGGAACGAGAGGCAGGGATTGAGGATGATAGAAGAAAGGAGGAAGATCTCCTTGCCTCTCTCAAGGGACTCAGTAAAAAGAAGAGGAAGTCTGCTCTTTTGGAGGTGTGGCTCCTTCCTGACATTCTTACTTTAACTTTTCATTTTCAAGTGGAGGCTAAATTCTCTGAACAATGGCATGAGTAACATGCAGATGACCTTTGGTTATAGCTATGAGCCTGACTCTTGGATGAAGAGAAGAGATAAAGATACTTGAGCTGTTTTTAATGGTAGTGTCAAAAGAATCAGCATCCCAGTTACCATTTTAATGCATAATCACTGAAAAATGCTGGACTCACTTTAGTTATATGAGGTCTGACAATAAAATAACGAGACTGAGAGCACTGTAATGCATGTGGCAACACTGGGTTACTGGCGATTGCTGTAACCTGTCAGTGCCTGTCTTAAGTCTGTGCAGTAACAAACTTGTCGTGATACTTCTAGTGATTGCAGAGCAGTACCACTTTACCTAATGTAGTGTTAGGGGCACTCGTCAAAAAAATGGGTGATAATATTATGAACAAAGAATCAATGTGAAATTTCTAATCAAGCTCAGGAAAAAACCAACTGAAGTCTTTGAAATGTTGAAACAAGGGTACAGAGATGAGGTTATATCCAGAGCAAAATGTCTTTGAATGATGTAAATGCTTTTCTGAAGGAAAGGAAGAAGTTGAGTTTGACAGACGAGCTGGACGTCTGACAACTTCAAATACAGATGAAAACATTGAAAATGTGAGAACTCTGGTGTGAAGTGATCGTCGTCTTATTGTCAGAATGGTTGCCAAAGAACTGTGTATCAATAGAGAGACAGTATGATTGATTTTAACGGAAAGTTCAACAATTCAAAAACTTCCGTTGGTTTTTTCCTGAGTTTGATTAGAAATTTCACGTTGATTCTTTATTCATAATATTATCACCCATTTTTTTGACAAGTGCCCCTAACACTACTTCAGGTAAAGTAGTACTGTTTTGCAATCACTAGAAGTATCACAACAAGTTTGTTACTACACAGACATGCACTAACAGGTTACAGCAATCGCCAGTAACCCAGTGTTGCCACACGCATTACAGTGCTCTCAGTCTCGTTATTTTATTGTCAGACCTCGTATATTTGTCAGAGTTATATATACCTCGATGAACTTCTGTCATCTACCTGTGGAAAATGAGCAAGAAACTGCCTTGACGATTTACATCCAAAGAGAAAACTATGTTTTTGCTGCTTTGTGGTCTCTTTAGCAGCAGTGGCTTATTGGTGAGGGCAAGGGAGGCTTAGTTACCCTAAAATATTGTGAATGTTTGTCTTCTCTGTGTTTCTAATGGCTATGAAGTAGCCATTGAATGTCTGGAATTTGAGAAGTAAATTTCTGAGAAACACTGAATTCACTCCCATTTGACAAAACAAACAAAATCCAGTTTCCCACAGTTTGGTTGTCAAGGTTTTCTCAGAGGAGGCAAAATGTATAGACAAAACAGGTGCATCCCACCATGAGTATTTTACTTGGTGCCAAGAAACCTTATGCTAGAAATAAGCAGAAAAAAAGATCAAGCTTAGGAATGATGCTAAGAACACCAAGGCTGGTTGCATACTTCTGGATGTAGTCCCCTAGCAAAGGGTTTCTTGCAACTCAGTACTATCATGTACAGGTAGGAGAGGTCGTTCATAGGGTTTGAATTATGCATGTGCACTTAGCCTGCACTTTCCATTTAGGCCAGTTTGGGCCTAAAGTAGAAAGCCACTTGGGAGGACTTCACACTGCCCCTTATTGTTGATGTCAAGAATGAAATCCCATACCTCAGTGATGAGGTATGGGATTATCTCTATGAGATACTTTCCATTAAACATGATATTCGTATAGTAAGTTGGATGCAAGACAGGAACTTCATTGAACTATTGATATAAACTTCTCCATTCAAACCTCATGTTCACCTACTCTTTTTGACTTTTTGAAGTTTTGACTTGTTTTATACTATTTTGAGACTGTGAAGTGCCAGTATGGAGCAGTTTCTCTATTAACCTGTTTGGCACTTAGCTTAGGAAGACATGCTCATTGGCACTCAAAGTTAGCCTGTAGTCACTATCTGTGGTTGCACTTGTAGTGATTGGTACTTGTAGGGAATTTTTGCTTTTTGTGGAAATTACAATCTGAAACTACAGATTTTCTACTGCCACTGCTCCTGGATTTAAAATCCAAGAATAACGTCACATTTTTTATTGAGGTCAAGGAAGCACTGACTTGATTTTAGAATAAGAATCAACCCACATTATGCAGAGATCATCCATATTTGAAGTAGCCCTTCTCTTCCGAAGGGCACCCTGAACATGGTGAATTAGGTTTGAATGTCCAGTCCACTCGTCTTTTCTCCATGGTTGGACCCATACTGTAATTTTTTCATGTGAAGCAAAGGAAAGGGAGAGAAATATACTTGTGAAAATTTTGTAGTCTTTTATTTAAAAAAATATAAGTTATTTAAAAATATATAAGTACTGGACAGGAGGTGATGAAGGGCATTTTGCAGGACACCAGGACATTGACTGGGAGCCAGGAGCGGGCAGCATATGAGTCAAAGGCATCGGCACAATTGGCTGTCAGTGCCTTAACAACCCTGCATGCCTTTCTCCACTCAAGTGGCCCTCAGGTCCTTTCTCCATATCTCATGCAGGTCTGTTCTGGCATCAACCTCTCATCTCTCTATGTTGATAGTCTTTTGATGCTGCTGATTGGAATGTTCTAGTATCATTGAATAAGACTCATTTTAAGGTTAAAGTTCATCATTGTATCCAAATTACTGTAAGGTTCAGTTTTGGTATGAGAAATTGTTGCCATGGAAATGGAACAAGGTGACACCAGAAGTGTGCCTTCTGGTGGGGGAGGGGTGGTGGTGGCTTGATGGAGCACATATCCCCTTTGAAAAAAAAATAAAAGGAAGGAAACGATGTATAAAATACCTTAGAACAGGATTTTCAGGATTTCAGGATAGTTAGTGATATCAAGAGGCGATTTTGCCCATTTCGGTATCACATGTTGAGGTAACAGTGCTCTAGATTCCCCATCTTCTCCCCCTCCCCCCTCAACTTTTTTCCTCTTTGCTACACAACGGGTGACACCTCTTAACCCTTTCAGTGTGGCTGATGAGAATACTCATGGATACTTGTGAGACAGCTGTGCTATCAGTGTGGTTGACAAGTATGCTCATCCTAGTGTTTTGGCAAGACACTGTGGCTCTCAGAGCTACAGGATGACAACTCAAGAAAATACCCAGCTCCTTGGTAGTGATTCCACAATGAAAACGGTTTACCACAGTAAAAGGTTTAAACACATTTGACTAGTGAAATTTTCATCTATATCATGTTTCAGAGTTCCCTCCTTGAGTCTTCAGCTCACCTCTGATGGGAGCTTCCATAGAGAGGACTGCAAAGCAGTCAGGGTGCACAACAAAGGGTTAACAGTGATTTATTATGTAACTTTTAAAAGATGTTACATACCAAGAAAGACAACTTTTACTCCTAACCAAGTATATTTCCATTGAGGCCATTCTCTGCCTTGTTACTTCAGCACTAAAGAAAGACTTGAGTATTGGCAAGGCTCATTTTCAATAGATGTGAAAAGGTTTTGTGTATTTTTTAATTCAAAATTGAATTAAGAAGAGAGAAGAATGACAATACCAGATGTGACAAAGCTGGTTGAGGAAGGGGGGTACCAAGGTGATGGGAGGATTGGGATGGGGAAAGTGAGACTGCAATAAGAGCTGGAAATCAAATTACATTGATTCATAAAACCTCTGTCTGGTTATTCCTAAGTTTGAGCCTGTATTGGCACCTAGCCCAGACTTAAGATTTTGGGCAAGCATGGGCCTCTCTTATTTATATATTTTTTTTATTTATTCCAGAAAAATATGTAGGTGTTAAATGTTGGTCTATGTGCATTTCAAGGTTTTACCATACTTTAAAGTATCATAAGTTAACAGCCTAATTCCATGATTCTCACTTTTGCATACTGCATTGTATGTGGGAACTTGTAATGGTATGCGAGATGCTGGTCAGTTGTCAGTACTACAACCTAAGCTTTTATTTTGGCAGATGATCAGTCTTACTCCATTTCATGTTGCTATGTTGTTATGATCATGGTTTTTTCCCCACAGACATTGGAGGAGCATATGGTGACAACATGCTTGGAGTTGGAAGTTTGTTCTTCAGGCCTCCTATCTCCATTCGAGGGTTGGGAGGCCAGAGTAGGTCTTTATGACCTTCTTATGGCCATCTGCCTCTGTCCTGTCCCTGGCAGGCCTCCTCCCTGGGCCTATGTCCTCCGCATCCTTCAGAGGGGTGCTCTTGACTCTCACTATCAGGTTTGTGATTGAGTCCACATCAGGGATGCAGTGGCCTACCACCACCAAGATCCAATTTCATGCATGTTTGAGACAAAACCCCCAACTATTCTCAGCAAGTCATACCCATTGTTGTGTGCTGTGAAGTTAATGTGAAGTATTAAGCCACCAATTATCATCTTTGACTTAAAAATCTGCTTTGTCTGCTGGTCATACATTTTTAGCAATGGACCAGCTTTAGATCCCATGTCCAATTTGAAGAAGAAAAAAAGCTTATTTTTTACTTTCAACTAGCAGATTCCAAGTTGTCATCAGTTCCAAATGAGGATGCATGAAAGTTTTATCATGATACATTAATGACAGTTTCTGTGTCATTATTGCATTTGTAATGTTGTTTTCTTGTCAGGTTTCTTCCAGGTGCCGAGAGCACCTTGGAGTAGCACGGACCATAGTCCAACGTATGGGATCTCAACTGGATGTTGGCGTTCCATTGTCAGCTGCTGCTAACCCACCTCAAACGCGCAAGCGAAAGGCTATTGATCGCACAGACATCATTGAACCAACGAGATTACGCCCAGGCAGCACTGACAGTGGCATCCTTCATGACACCTGTTGGTCCTTTGATATTTTTAAATTCAGGAATGGTCTTGATTCTCATAAATCCTCTGTTAATGATTTTGCTTCATATTTTACAGCTGCAACTGAGATCATTGTGTTGGACTCCTCAGTAACCTTAGATGAGGACAAGCCAAACAGGGAGCCTCCTGTTGTGGTAGAAGTAACTCCTGTAGTGCAACAAGAGGTTGTGAAAGATAATCCAAAACCATCTAGTTTTGGATCTGGTGAGTAAAATACTTGTTTTCAGGGTTAAAGTTTTTGTTATACATTTTTTAGTGGGCCTACTTCTGTTGTCTAGCAATAGCTAAATAAAAAATATTTCCAATTGGCATCCTCACTAAGAAAACCAATTGCCAATTTGGCAAAAAAAAATATATTTTTGGTGCAAACTTTATGCATGTATTGGAAAATTGATGTTATTGAACCATCTCCCAAATCCTCCCTCTCCTTTGACTGCATGATGACATGTTTCACCCTTTCTCCATTACTGCCCAATGACACCTGAGGTAAAGTCTGCATCCTGAATCCTTGTGCAGCGGCATTGCCTGCTGGCCCAAAAACCTCCATAAAAGGGATTAGCACTTGTCAGCTGAGTTGATTGAAAGACTCTGGAAATGAAATTTTAAGGAAAGAGGGATGTGAGGACAGGCCGAAAAGCAGGGCACTTGTTTTGAACCTCATTATCCTTGGACTCTTATACTTGGAGAGTATACCATGTGCACAAGGATTCCGGATATAGACGATAACTGGGTTGAAAATGCAATTTAACAGATTTTCTTAAAAGAGCAAAAGACTTTGACACTTTTGCACCTTTTTCATCAGTTTTAAGCCTTGTAATTTTTTCCTTGCCAAACTGCATGTTGTGTTAGGGAAAATATTTCCCCTTTCAATAGAAAAATCAAATCTTATTGTGAAATTAATTGGGGTGGTGTAATGAGATGATTAGTGAACTTATCTTTAATTTAAGATGACCCTCTACTGGACTCGGATTGCCCATCTTGTGGTGTAGCTGTCCAGGAGGAGATCATTGACTTGGACTCTGACCCTGAAATCTCCAGTCTGGGAGCTGTGGACAAGAAAAAAGTGGAAGAGAGGGGACAGAAGTTGCACATGAACAACGAGATCATTGTGATAGATGACAGCAAGAACGACATCGACCAGGTGGGTTACAATCATATTTTGGGACTTTCTGAAAGTGGTTTTGAATGCCATTGATCATACAAAACGTATTGTCAGCATAGACACGTGTGAAACTTTTACAACATTTTAGGTCTTTTTTGCTCTGTCAGACTAGGGATTAATTAAATCCTCATTTCGTTCTACATCTATGAGTCACAAGAAAAGAGTCTAAATCTCTGCACACTTTTTTGCCTACAAGATTAACACTCTCTTTTGACAGGGAGAGGGTGAGGGAGCCAGAAGCCTAGCAGAGATGATGGCAGACTTCGATCCGAATCCACCACCTGATGAAGTCGTGGAAGTCTTCTAAGTCTTCTACCCTGTCTGGTTCCTTGCAATCATCAAAGAATACATTTGAGCAACAAGGATGATTTTTTGACCAATTGAGGCCCTTTTTTTTCACTTCCTGGTAGAAATTATTTTACTTTGTTGCATGTAGGACACCAACCATGATGGGGTACTCAGACTCATATCAAAAACACCACTAGCAAATTTATAGCTTACATGTTTTGAAATAGAATCACAAGTACTCAGGGAGAGAAGCATCGAGAAAACAAGATCGGTTGCTTTGCCTTTCAGAAGTCTAAGTCGGATCTCAACAACTCACTTCTCTTGTTCGTGCATAGTGCAAGGTTGGAGGAGTTTAATCTGGTGCTTCATTTCGTTGAGGGGCTGAGGATTCAAAGCAGCCTGCCTGCAGGATTTTTTTTTTATGGGGGAGGTTGACCCCTCTGCCTCCATGCGCATGTCACAGGTTTGAAGACTCCAGTACCATATCAAAGTCGGCGGAAAGGAACCTTTAATGTGGGTTTTGTCGTTATGAACACGTGATGGTGAACCGTCGATGGTTCCTGCTGGAGAATTGGTGGATATTTTCTCGCTTTCGCTTCTGGATCAGATGTTGATGAACTTAAGGGTTCCCTCAAACGTATAATCGCTAGGGTGTGAATCAAATTTGTTCTGTCGTGAAATTTCTAGCTTTTGAAGCTTGGTGTCTTCCCTGGCAATTGATTCGTTTTTTGGCAATTGTTTCTCTCAGGCTTGGTCGGACCCAAAATGTAGGCATTAGCCCACCTTTTCGGGTTTGCAGTAATGGGAGCACATCAGGAAATAGTTGACAGGAAAACCAGCTTAAGAATCTGCGGAACCTTCAGATCATAAGTCGGCAATTTGCCAGAGTCTGTCACATTCGTCTGGCATTTTTCGGTTGCCGTATTGAAAATTTATTGCCAGTGATGTTGCCGAGGAGTTGGAGTTTTCAAGTTGCTCTTAAGTGGGTTTTGGCGCATTCTTGTTAATCATCGAAGAGTCTTGCTTGTTTTTTTCTTTTTTTTTTTTAGCTAATCCTGTAGTTTATGGCAGCGGTTCCCAAACGGTGTTACGTGTACCACTGGTGATACGCAAGGCAATGCCAGGTGGTAGGCAAGAGGTTTCCAAACAGACTCATCTACAGCCCGTTGAAGACATTCTTACGACCGAGACCGGTTGGATGGGTTTGGACTGTAGAAAATGGGCAGTGGAACGTTGCCTGGGACCGGTTTGGGCTTCGGTCTCCGTCTCCCCACGGACAAAAAAAAAACCAGAACGAAAACGAGGAACCAGATCCACACGATCATGCTCGCCATCGTCGTCAGAGGGAACAGTGTCCCCGCGATTTCTCATATATTCCGGAACCAGAGTAAACAGAGAAGTCGACATGGAATTGTTCACCGCTGGGCAAATCGTAACCGGAGAAATAAACCCCTTCCCTCTGGACCCGTGCGTCGCAGATGCCCTTTCGTCAAGCCGTGCGCATTGCGCCGTGATCGCGACCCATCCGCGATCTTTCATAACTCCTCCCCCCCGGTTACGAGCAGGTTATGAGATCGCGCAAAGGAACCAATCGTCCGACATCCGACCAGGAAAACTCGGAAATTGCGAAGAGTTTGGTTTTCGTTTGTTTCTTGAACTTCGATACTTGCGTTCATCCACTTCAGCTGTCATTCTAGGACGTCAATGATCATTCTAGGACGTCGATGATCATTCTAGGACGTAAATGATCATTCTTGAAGGTCAGAAACGACCGCCTTCATCCAATTCTTGGAAAGTGCAAATCGCTTTTCGCCGGAATGTAACCTCTTCGTGAAATATCAACTTCTGCTAAATAAAAGTGTAGAATGTATATGTAATATTTAAAGTTTTAATGATTCCCAAGAGACTCCGAAAATGAGTCGAAGGCCCCCGCAAAGAGCGCGAGTTCTGTTTCACGTCGTGCAGACACAACAGGCTGGACAGAGCCCAATTCTTTAGAGCGAGTCTAATCTAAGTTGGTGTGAATCGCGTTTGGACCCCTGCCTAATGCAAATGGCACTGAGTTGCTCGAGATTCCAAGGCACAGCAACGGAACGAGCAGTGCAATCGCAGTGCAATTCTTCCCCCAATCGACAGCTTTTCATCCCGTTCGTGTTTACGTTTCATCCGTCACATCGCCACTTTCGATCAGTCTGGACAGAACAATCGACTAGCAGGCACATCATCACCTGCCACCCTCTTCCTCAGGAAAGCCCTTACTGAAGTTCCATCAGCCATGTGGAAAAATCACCCCAGTGCGTAACTCGAAAGCCTGCCCCCTTCTCGAAAACGGGATGATGACGGGATGATGGAGAATAAACCGAGTCTGAAGGAAATACACGCACAGCACACACAGTGGACGACCTTCCATCCACCCTCCATCCACCCTCCATCCACCCTCCATTCACCCTCCATCCACCCTCCATCCTCCCTCCATCCACCCTCCAGCCTCCCACCTGCCATCCCCTTTGACTTGTGTTAGATTCCCGAGAGACTCGCCAACCTCCTTCGCATTGGAGGCATGGATGAAGACCCGAAGGCGAGGCGAGGCGAAATCAACCTGTCAAAGCCTGCCGTGAGAATGAAAAGAGAAAGTGCCGCTGTCGTCACCGAGAACTTTACACATTTCTTAAATCGATATTTTCAGCAAACTTACATCGAGGAAGGGAAAATACAATTGAAAGCTCACTCACTCAGCACTCGGCCTTCAGCTTTGCCTGCGACGAGATAAACGTCTGGGGCTGGTTAAGAATAGATCGGCCGAGATTTATTCATTTCGCTGAGTGTATCACAAAATACAAGGGAAAGCTTTTTTCCCGACCTGTATTTTGACATATCGAAGATGTGACTCACCCTAGACCATACAGGTGGAAACAAAACCCGATAATAGACGTTATCATCATTTTTGTCGAAAAGGTAGGCCCATGTGCGTCTGAACAGTCCTGGTGAAGTTCTAACACAACGAATTCAGGGATGTCATGCTCCTCTTCACTCTTTTCAACAAGATATGGCGTCACATAGACGAATTAACGCTAGCTAATCCTTTGACTCACGCTTTGGGTACAGTTTTGAATAACAATCAATGTTAAAGAAAAAATCAACGCCACTGCATTGTCGACGAAATAACTCCTCCCGTGCCTAGAGAAGAGGCGGCTCTGGCAACCCTGATCGACGCGCTGTGATTGGTTGAGCCCTCGGCGCCACGGGGGGGGGGGAGCTAGTGCGTCTTTGGATGTGGCTTTCCGTCGCTCGTCGCTTTTCCCTCCTCTTCGGGATTCGGGGAAAGAAAAATCAAGGTAATGAAATTCGTACTTTGGCATGTCGTACCAGGTTGCGAGATTGTGCAGGTGAAGACGTTACCGAAGGCAATCACGAGAAACTCCCTGCTTTCACCCAGACAGAACGCATTCCGCATTCCCTGCGAAAAGGAAAATCGTTGCCTTACAGCTTGCCCTTGCTAATCGTAAGCAGTCGATGCAAAATAAAAATTTGCATTTCACCCGTCCGCGATTGCTTTGACCTGATGCAACCACTGCGTGCCTGTCACCTCTCACCTGCGTATGAGGCGATATTAGGCCCATGAATGAATAAGGAAATGAATAATAACCTTATACTTTTTTCATAGTAATGACCGTTGGGGAGATAATACCGCATACCCAAGGAAAATTTACAAAGTAGGCTTGGAATCTTAGCCGTAGGCCTACTTTGAATCAGTTTCTGTTTATTATGGAGTTGCAATTCGAGAATCCAAGGCAAAATCGTTCGTAACTAGCTAGAATTTGTTGCAAAAACAGTTTTTTTTTTTTTTAAACTGCTTCGTTCGGCTTTACTCCAGTCGCTGAGGAGAATTCGAACAGTGCCCCTTATGCTGTAACGAGACAGAAATATTAAAGGCGATTCCTCATCGCAGAAGAGGTCTTCCTTTCGCAGCTTCCTTTTCGTGAGGATTCTTTTCTCTCTCTCGACTCTTTCATCTTCCGGAATCGCTTTCATGTGAGTTGCAGTCACCGCTTTCCATTGGGCGCAGCGTTGAGCGAGGATTGGATTTTCGACGTAGCCATGTTCCCACAACAACTGTAGCGGTTTCAACGTGTGCCAGCGTTGGATTGTCAACGTCTGGGCATTGCTTATTTTTATTATTATTTTTTTTTTTACTGAGATATTGAACATGCGCTAATATAGAGTATAGCTTGAAAGTGCTCGAGTGAGTACTATCCACCACTAGTTCCTTCTGAAGTTGATACTACTTTTACCGAATCAGAATCAGAGCTGAGTACTCGAATGGAACAACTCATTCTGCCCAGCAGAGGAAATTCACGTCCCCAGATTTTTTTTCCTCGCAAGAGATTCAGGAGTCCGAATCTGCACGATCGCCATGCGGCGTATTAGGAAAAATTCGGTACGTTTCTTCGGCCAGAAGTACCTGGTGTCTCCTCGAACTCGTCCAAGAACTTCAAAGCCAGTTGCAGGTGGGAAAGGATCGGGCACTGTATGGAAAATACAGGGTACTCATTCCAACGCCGCCAGAGTGAGAATCGTTAAATCGATGG